TTATATACATGTTTTTTAACAAAAAAATTAACATATAATGATATGATATGTAAAAAAATAAATGATTTATTTAATTAATAATTTTAAAAAATAATTTATCTCTATAATTTTTTTAATTAACAAATCTGCTCCTCCGCACCTATTTAGGCGGGCGGATTCGAAGGTTTTCCCCAAAACAAATCATTCGGTATCACTATGATTCCTCTCATGCTATGCTTATGTCCAATCGATTCCCCTTTTCAGCCCTACTTTCGTCAGCATTTCATTTGATTTGCTTTCCTCTCAACTTGTTTCCTTCATTTTCTCTGTTCAATCCTTCTTTCCATCATCTTCTGCTGCTACCCTCTGCACCGCATCTTCACATCCCTTTACACACACCAACTCATCCTCACGTTGCTCTTTTTCTCACCCTTTCTTTTCATTTGATTTAATTTGATTTCATCTCAACTCAGTTCCCTCCATTGTTTGCGGATCAATCCTTCTTCCGCTACTCTCTGGACCTCATTTTGCCTCCCTTTACTAAAAATCAGCTTATTTTCACTTTTCTCATCCTTTGTTTCATATCCTAATCTGATTCATTTGCTTCTTTTGTTCCAATTGTGTCTTTATTTTTGTTTGGCACCTATTTATTTTTCCAAACTCAAAAAAAAAAAAAAAAAAAAGAATTAGAAGATGTCCGACCCTTGTTCGTTTTGTCAGAACGCTGCTGCAAATTTTGTTGGGAACTTGTTTGGTGAAATTTTCACCCTAATCTCAAAGCCAATTATTCTTGTGTTCAAGTGCGACAATAATGTTAACTATTTGATGAACAAAGTTACTGAGCTGAAGCGTGAGAAAGAGGCTGTGGAGAACTTTGCTGGAGCTGTTGGCAGAAAAGGGGAACAGATTACACCAAAGCTCAGTGATTGGCTGACCGGGGCCAACGATTGCATTGAAGCTGCGGAGAAATTAGTACCTGATGCTGCAGAGAAATTAGTAGCTGATGCTGAAGGAAATGCCAAGAAGAAGTGTTTCTTTGGGCTCTGTCTCAATCCCAAATCTCGCTACCAACTCAGCAAAAAAGCCAAGGAGAATTCTGAGGTTATTGTTGATCTTGTGAATAAAGCTCGTGAATTCGACCTCCCACTTTCCCAAATTCCTGCTCCACAAAAACAAGTGGCCGCGCCTGTCGAAGGTTTTGATTGTTTTTACTCAAGAGAGGATGTTCTGGAGAGGATCATGAAGGCACTGCAGAGTCAAAGCAGCAGCATTATAGGGGTGCACGGGATGCCTGGCATGGGGAAGACGATGCTGGCCAAAGAAATAAAAAGAAAAGCAGAGCAAGACAAGCTGTTCGATGTGGTAGTTATGGCTCTTGTTTCGAGGAATGTAGACTTGAGAAATGTTCAAGTTGAAATTGCCCGTGGCTTGGGTCTTGATCTGCTTCCTTATGGAATTAGATCACAGGATGCTGCTGAATGTATTAGAGGAAGGCTGAAGAAAATGAAGAAGGTTTTGATCATTCTGGATGATATTTGGAGGCCTGGAATAGATTTGGAGGAGCTTGGAATTCCTCTGAGAAACGAGCCCAAAACAATAGAGGGGAGCTCATCAAGAGAAGAATATGCAGAATGCTACATTCTGCTAACTTCCAGAGATTCTAATGTTTTATCCGATCTGATGGGTTCTCAACAGAACTTTCCACTTCATCATTTAAAAGATGAAGAAGCATGGGAGTTGCTTAAAAGGATAGTCGGTGACCGAGCAGAGAGTGATGATATACATAGCGCAGCTATTGAGATTGTCCGTGAATGTGGGGGCTTGCCCCTTGCAATTACAACAATGGCAAAGGCTTTGAAAAATAAGAAGCCTTACGAATGGATGGATGCTGTGAGAACACTAAAAAGGCCCTCTTCAGAAAACTTTGATGGCATATCTGCAAATGTTTATTCTGCTATTGAGCTCAGTTACTTTCATTTGGAAAGCGAGAAGCTCAAGAAAACATTTTTGCTTTGTTGCCTAATGGGTCACAAGTTTCTTCTTCAAGACTTGTTGAACTATGGTGTGGGCTTAGGCTTATTTGCTAATACCATAGAGGAAGCACGAAATGAAGTGCTTACTTTGATAAGCAAGCTCAGAGCCGCTTCTTTGCTCGTTGATGATTCTGACAATAACCGTTTCGACATGCATGACCTTATCCATGATGTGGCTGTATCAATAACAAGTAGGGATCGTCGTGGGTTGCTGCTAACAGGGGATCATGTACCAAAGGAGTGGTCAGACATGGAGAAAAGGAAAGATTTCAAATGGATCTGTCTGCGATATTCTAATGTTGATGGGTTACCTGAAGAGTTAGAAAGCCTCCGTCTTACTCTCTTTCGGTTGGGTAATAAAAATCCTTCTCTGCAAATTCCAGCAAATTTTTTCAAGGGAATGCCAAGACTCAAGGTATTGGATTTGACTCACATGCATATGTCATTCCTGCCTTCATCAATTTGCCTCTTGCAGAATCTCCATACATTATGTTTGGATCAAAGCGTGTTGGGGGACATACGTATTATTGGAGAGCTGAAGAATTTAGAAATTCTTAGCCTATGGCAATCTGATTTTGATGAGCTTCCAAGGGAAATTGGGCAGTTGACTCGGCTAAAGTTATTAGATTTGAGTAACTGTACTAAACTCAAAATAATTCCCCCATGTGTCTTGGCAAAAATGTCCATATTAGAGGAACTATACCTGGGAAACAGCTTCCACGGATGGGCGGTTGAGGAAAATGAAAATCAAAGAAATGCGAGCCTTGCTGAGTTGAAGCATTTAAAGAAATTGACTAATTTAGAGGTATGCATTCCTGATATTCAGATGATCCCAAAAGATTTGTTCTTTGAAAATTTGAAAAAATTCAAAATATTCATTGGGCGTAAGTGGGAAGGCCAGTATAGCTCCTCTGAAAGCTCAAGAATATTGAAGTTGCACTTAAATGCATCCAATAATTCTAGCCATTTAGTTAAAATGTTGTTGAAGGTGACTGAAGAGCTACATCTAAGGGAGTTGGGAGGTGTAAAGAATGTGGTTGATGAGTTAAATACTGAAGGTTTTCCAGATTTGAAGTATCTCAATGTCCACAATGCTCTAGAGGTTCAACATATCATTAAATCAGTGGAGGGGTTTCCTTTCAATGCATTTCCCAGCTTGGAAGAATTAATTCTCCAGAATTTGATTAATTTGGAGAAGATATTTCAAGGCCGGCTCAGAGACACAGCTTTTAACAATTTAAGAACTATTACTATTGAATGTTGTGATAAGGTAAAGAGTTTGTTCTCTTCCTCTATAGCCAGACAGCTTCTCCATCTACAAGAAATTTCAGTGA